AATGATGACTAGAAATGTTGGCCGGTAGTGATTAGGGGACTAGAATGGGCTCAGACTAAGATTTGAAGGATAAGATGTTAGCCATGAATGATAAGAGACCAGGAAAGAGCTTTTGATAAAGTCTTAAGGCAGGATAGAATGTAGCACATTCCAGGAATTGAAAGAAGCACCACATAGCTGGAACTAGCAGAAGACAGTGGCATAACAAGAGAAAGGCATAAGATGTAAATGGATATGTTGGCAGAAGCTGAAGCTTTCAAGGTCTCTTCTAGATCCTGGGAAGGAATTTGAATTGTCTTCTTGCAACAATGGAAAGGAATAGACTGGTTTTAAGCAGGAGAACAACATGAATGGATTTGTATTTTAACAAATTACTAAATGGCAAGTGGATTGAAAGCATGTCAGGGCAATCAGTAAATCTTAGAGAAATTTTGGGGTGAATATTGCTTCTACTAAATGAAATACAGAGGAAATTAAGAGCAGAGAGTGGTTTGATGAGGAAGGTGATGACTTGGTTTTGTATCCGTAGGACTTTGAGGTTCTAACACTAGTTATTTAAATCCAAGTTGGACTAAAACAAGGAGAGCTTCAGAGTTAGTGTAGAAACTTCCACACATTGTGAAATAGCTGATATAAAGGAGGATCCAAGGAATAATTCCAAGACTGGACCACAGAAAAGCCAGATAGCTTGTCCCAAAGCTATTTTTATAGTGATGTCAGATAGTTCACCACACTATTTCAAAGATATTTCACAAACTCCTGAACTTACGACAGATGTCTGAATTGGCAAATGAGAACCAGATTGTAACAAGAAGTTAGTAAGTGTTTACTGAACGAATAAAATGAATGTGGTAATTATACCCATGTGGCAGGATACTTCAAGGTATAGGAGTGGAGGAGATCACCAAAGAAAGAAAAGAGAGAGAAAAGAAAAAGGAAACAGTCAAGAACCAAAGTCTGATTGAAACTGATTTGACAGAAATTGACTAGTTACAATCGTAACAGAAATTTGAGTTAGACCATTTAAGGTCCTAAAACTGGTGCATATAACTAGTATGAGAGAATATCTACTAGGAAAGATGTTGAGTGTAGATGTCTTATTCCCTAAGAATTTTGTCGTTGCTGCTTTTTGTTTTTGTTTTAGTCTTTTGTACTAGCGATTGTATCCAGGGCCTTCACACTGTGCTACATCCCTAGCTCTAGTAGGTGTGAGCCACAATGCCTAGCTCCAAAGATATTTTATTTTATTTTATTTTTTAATTTTATTTTGAAACAGAACAAGTTAGAATAAAGCCAACTAAGATTGTACAGTGAAATTGGTACAGAACTTCACAGCAGGTTACCGGGATAACAGTAATAGGTATCATAGTATATTTTGTTATCTTTATAATAGTTGTTCTTTCAATCATGTATATCAAAATGAGATGAAATATAGAACTCTATAGAACTTATCAAAACAGAATATTGAATAGCACGGGTCTCAGGAGACACTGCTGGTTGTCCCCCTGGAAGGGCTGCAGTGGGCCACACTGCCGCCACTTACCAGGGAGGGGAGGTGCTTGCTTGGCTTCCCAGAGTCCTAAGTTCCAACATCAAAGTTTTACATTTATTTATTTATTATTATTATTATTTTTTTTTTTTTTGGTCTTTTTCGTTTTTACCGGTACCAGGGATCGAACTCACGACTGCCTGCTTGCAAGGCAGGCGCTTATGCCGCTGAGCTAAATCCCCAGCCCCAAAGTTTTACATTTATTAAAGGTAGGAAAAGAAGTCCCCTCTGCAGGGTGAGAGCAGGTGCTGAAAGACAACACAGTGCTCCAAAGATATTTTAAAGAATAGAAAGATAGCTTACTAGATAAACAGAGTTCTCAAGCATTTGGTGATATGGTTTCAATTTGATTGCATTTTTCATACAGGCCTTACCAGGACCAACAAGAAATTTTGAAACAATAGAATATTAATTGAGACAATATTCAGTTGTTGAGGAACTGTCTCCTGCAAAATGGCTAAGTAGAATCTCTCTAAAATAGATATAAAATTTTTTTTGTTTTTGTCTTTTTCCTTTTTATCGGTACCAGGGATCGAACTCATGACTGCCTGCTTGCAAGGCAGGCGCTTATGCCACTGAGCTAAATCCCCAGCCCCTAAAATAGATATAAAATTAAAGAGGAAAAACCTTTTGCTTACGGTTTCAGTAAGTTCTCTCTTTTTTTTTTTGTCTTTTTCTTTTTTATCGGTACCAGGGATTGAACTCACAACTGCCTGCTTGCAAGGCAGGTGCTTATGCCGCTGAGCTAAAGCCCCAGCCCCTCAGTAGGTTTTCTTAAAACATATTTAGGTAGATGAGCCAGCCCATTTCATGTACAATATGTATCTAATATATTTTAGAGTTCTAGCAAGTCTAAATATATCAAAATAGAACAGTTATATCTTCTTCTTCTGTAAAACAGGCATACAACCTAACCATAAAGATTAAGGGCATTAATATTAGACAGACCTGGTTTCGATTCTTACTGAGCTATTTCCCAGCCCTGGGACCTTAGGAAGTTATTCAGCCTCCCCAGACCTAGTTTTCTTGCCAGTTCTGTGTAGATAATGAAAGAATCTACTTCAAAGCTTTATTGTGAAAATTAAATGCAAAAAATTAAAGCGTTTATCCCAGGGCCTCGAAGGCAGTCCCTGACACATTCTCTCTCAGCAAGGCATTAGAAATAATATAATATCAAACATTTATTATATGTCAGCAACTATGCTAAGTATTTTAAATACCACATTACTTCTTTTAATCCTTTGAGATAGGTACAATTTCTTAATCATATTTCACTTGTCAAGAAATTGAGCTTTAAGAAATTTAATCAGAGAAATATATAAATGTTCACCCTCAGGTGTGCATATATAATTTGACGTGAACATAGACTTTAATGCAAATACAGGAATCTCTACAAATTCATTATTGCTAGTCTCATATTTACTTCCACCTGGAAATTATGGCGCAGGGATAGTACAGTAGAACTGATAGAAAAGCATCCCCTCAACCAGAAGAAAGATGCTTGTTTTATTACATTTTGTGGGACTAAGGATTGAAATCTGGGCGTGCTAGGGAATCACTCTACCACCGAGCTATTATGCCCTCAGCTCCATGCTTTACTGGAAAAGGTGATGCCTTTGCAAAAGGCACAAGTTTTTCTTAGCATGCTGAGTAAACTATTTAACTAAGTCTTGGGTCTCAGTTTCCTCATCTGTAAAATGAAGGAGATGGCTCAGCTCTAATTCAATAGGCTCTAGTTCTGAATCTAAGCAGTCCTTAGGCTTTATAGACAGTTCTATACAAACACCGGGCTTCATGGCAACAGCCACTCAGCTCTCCTAGTGCTGGTATGCAGCTTTACCCCAGCAAGCAGAACTATTTACATCACAAATTCCTGGGTGAAAAGAGAGCTAGGATGGAGGACAGAGCTATCTGTCAGTCATCTTAAAGCCCCTGACTTTTTTTTTAAGCCCCCAGCTTTTAAAGAAATTCTGAAGAAAATTGTAGGTGGCGTCTATGTGCTTAATTAGAAAAAACTAAATCAGTATTTAATTCACAAAATCACCCTCAAGAGGCACAGGAGCTGTCTTAGCTGAGATTTAAAGGGTCACTTTGCCACTAAGCGCTGAGTCAGTGAGTGGAGGAGATTGTGACCCAGGTTCTCTAAAACCTGAGATGATGCAAAAAAAAAAAAAAAAGCCTTACCAGAAGGGTTTTAGATCAATTGTATTTTTTCAGTGCTGGGGATTGAACTCAGGGCCACACACATGCTAAGCAAGTAGTCAATGACTAAGCTTTATGCCTAACCCTTCTATTGTACTCTATTTCTCTTTCTTTTTTTGTTTTGTTTTGAGGGAGAGGCCTCTCATATGGTCTGTAACTGACCTTGAACATGCTCAGGTTGGCCTTGAACTCATGATTCTCCTGTCACAGCCTCCTGAGTGCTAGAATTACAAGTGTGTGCCCACCATGCCTCAAAGGGATTTCCGAGAAGATTTCAGTGTGAAAACTCTTATATTATGATGGGCATTAATAAGAGTTTTAGCTTAGAGGCAAAGGGATCAGGGATTAAGGTGTGAAAAAAATCTCTTTTCAAATAAATCTGTCCTTGAAAATGATACCCTAGACCTGCCCTACCTTCTATTTTCAAGCCTTCTTGAAGTTCTTTTAAGACTCTTACTCTTTATGGTGAACCAGGGGTGTTAACAATGATAAATTTATGGAGGGGGACTCTTACTTTCTCTTCCGCTATTTTGCTTCCTTAGATTGGAGCCCAAAGGAGCAATATCCTTTTATATCGCATTTGTAAAGGAAGTATATCACTCACTAAAACGCCCCTTCGGAAAGGGAGTAGTTCCAGGAGAAATGTAATGCGCACTTCACTACGTTTCCACTTGAGGGCAGCAGTGTCGGCCTTTGCTACCTGCTGAAAACCGCCTATGGAGAGGTCTGCAGAGCCGGGGTTCTGAAAGGAGCTCAGGAATATGGTAGTGGAGTGGAGGCGGCATGGGAGGTTGGGAGCTAGAGTTGTGAGAGTCCCAGAAGAGAGACATCTGCAGTCCGAGGCAGAACTGTGTTCCTGAGCTGAGGGAATCTCACAATGAATGGATCGTCCCTGCCATTAGGTATGGTTTCATCTGAGCAACAAAACTTTCTAAGATAGAGGAGCTAGGACATTCAAGGCAACTCCAAAATGACTTACAAACTGATGAAAGTGGTAGTTGCTGTTTTTCTTCTTACCACAAGAGGGTAGAACATGAAAAGATTAGCGCATTCTCATCTCAAAATGGCTAGTCCTGGAGGAACAGTGTTAAGGGTTGTTATTTTGGGGCTGGGGATTTAGCTTAGCGGCATAAGTGCCTGCCTTGCAAGCAGGCAGTCGTGAGTTCGATCCCTGGTACCGATAAAAAAAAGAAAAAGACACACACAAAAAAAACACCTTGGAGCAGGTATAAGGTGAAAGCGGAAGGGATGCTGAGGCCATTCAAAAGACAGGGCGACAGGAATTCAGTGTGTGGTATCGTTGGTTTTTTTGGCTTTGTGCATGTTAAACCTGGTATTTCTACTGATGCATTATGTTTTTCTAATACTCATTTTATTCATAGTCAATATAAAATAAATTTTTTTTAAAAGCCTGTGAGTCATCCCACACCACTTCTTTTCCATCATGACCCCATTCGATTCATGTCTAATTCCTATTCACTCAGTCCTTTAGAAAATAAGATCTGTGAAGGCAGGGACCAAATCTACGAGTCTACCTTGCTCACCCTTGTGTCCTTAGGCCATAACATTCTTTCTGGAAGCTCACTAGATATTTGAAATAATACATGAAAGCAGGCACAGTGACACACACCTGTAGACCTACTAATTCGAGATTGTGGCAGAAGAATCACAGGCCAGCCCCCCGTGGGGACATAGGCAACAGAGCAAGACCCAGTCTCAAAACAGTAAGAACAGTGATTTGGTAATTACATTCATGTCGCATTTATCACGTTAGTTCAAGTTATTACCGTCTCTCATGGGATCTGCATGGGAATTCCATGTGGTTTCCCTATATAACTCTTCAGTTTCCTAGGATTCACTTTATTCTTTGCACTGAGTGATTTTTTTTTCCAAAATGCAAATTTGTTTTTGGCTTTCTCATCTAAAAAATGGGAAGAATAATTACTACCTCATCATAGAAATGTTGGTAGGATTCAATAAATCAATATATATATAGTTATTAGCAGAGTGCTCAGTTCGGTATTAAGTAATTGGTAACCACAATTATAGGCATCCGAAGGAAGTAGTCCCTGCCTGTCTCTTGCTATTCCCCTCATTTTCTGCCAACTTCATTAACCCTTTTTCAGAACCCAGAACATGCTTATTTCTTATTTTACTTCTCCATTAGGGGAATTTCCTTCCTGTAAGAAACTGTTTTTGACTCCCTCGTTCTAGTGCAGGTGGTTGTGAAGTAGATTTCCGTAGCACCCCGTCCACTATCAGAGCTTTTATTACTGACTCAAGGCATAATGACAAACATTGAGCAATCCTTTAATAAATGTCTTTTCATCAACTCCAGATTATTTCTTCTTTCTCTTCTACATAGAACATTATCATTGCTACTACAGCCATGTTTCTTTTCCAAAGGAAACTCCCACCCACACCTTCTGCTGAAGAGATACTCTTAGGAAGCCAAAATCATGACCTGGAGAGGTTCTTTTGCCTTAGCTGACCAGAGTTGGCATATGATGCAATAGTGGACAATCAACCAGGTCAGAGACTTATGAGAAGCCTGGCGTGCAGGAGGAGGGGGAGGGGGAGGGGGAGGGGAGAGGGAGGGGAAGGGAGAGGGGGAAAGGGAGGAGGGAAAAAGGAGTAGGTTGATCAGATTCTTTCATATTCTCTGACATCTGAGCTACAAAAGGAAAACAGGGGCTGGGAGTTTAGCTCAGTGGCACAAGTGCCTGCTTGGCAAACATGAGGTCATGTGTGTGTTTGATTCCCTAGTACCAAAACAAACAGACAAAACCAAAAACAAACAAAAAGAAGAGGAAAAAGTTGGAGGTATAGTTCAGTGACAAAAATGCCTTTCAGGTACTTTAACATAAAGACCTGGGTTTGATCTGCAGCTCAACGACAGCAATAACAATAATAACAATAAGATGCAGCAGTTGAGGATAAGAACAAGGGCTAAAATTATGCATAAAGAAAAACCGGAAGATAAACCCCTCAGATTTATGAGGGAGTCGAGGCAAGCTATAAGGACACAGAAACTTCCACGAAGGGAACATTCATGCAAAGAGAAGAATAAGCAACCAGTTCATAGTGGTAAAAGAGGCCCTGCTGGGAAAAAAATAGCAAAGTCATGCTAATGACTAAGCATTACTAAGCACTAGAGTGAAAATACCAAAAATGCTGTGTCTTACTCTTCAGGGTTGTTTGTTTCCTGAGTTTCTATGGCATACATTTTTAAAATAAAATTATTGAGCTATGCCAAATATGGTGATGCATACCTGTAATCCTAGTTGCTCAGGAGGCTGAGCAGGAGGACTGAAGGTCAAGACCAGCCTGGGCAAGTTAGTAAGATCAAAATAAAATAAAATCTAGAGATCTAGCTTATTCCTTTCTTCAAGTCTCAGTGCAGTACTGAGGGGGAAAAATGTTGCGATAAATAGAATTGTCTTTCATTATTTAGAATACCTAACTAACAGATAAACTTTTTTTTAGCAGATAAACTATTTCTGTGTTTTGGAAAAAATTAAATATTTTTAAAGGCTAAATTTCTGGCTCCCTATTCTGTTTTCTCTTTTCATTTAGAAAAGTATTCATCATATTGCCTGCAATTATTAGTGTGTCTTTAGCATGAGACAGACTATAAGCTCTTTGTCTATGTTTCCCAGCAGCACACTGTGTCCAACAGTGTATTTGATATACCAAAGATGCTTAGCATATAAAGCCAGATATTGTTGGGTGTGGTGTGCATGTCTGTAATCCATTTACTTTGGGAAGCTGAGGCAGGAAGATCACAAGTTCAAAGCCATCCCGGGGAATTTAGAAAGATCCTATCTCTCAAAAAAAAAAAAAAAAAAAAGACATGGGCTGGGGATGTAGCTCAGAGGTTAGAGCCTTGGATTTGATACCTACTATCATAAAAAATAAAATAAATAAAATAAAATATGTTTTTTCCTCCTTTGTCAAATTCTTCCTCTAGGCACAGAAAAATGAAATATTTCTAAAGAGCACATGCAGACTCATTTTGTGAATTCTTTAGCCCTTTAGAGGTATAAACAACTGGTAGTTTGGTCAGATTTCTAGGTTAGTATCTAAAGAAAGAATTGCAATACAGTATGAAAACATTTCTTCTGGGGGTAAGCAACTGCTTTCTCAGTTATTTCAAAAACTGACAGCTTCTCCATAAAATCACCAGTGGAGGGTGTATATGCAGGGTGGGGGTGGGTACAGTGGTGATTCCTCTTTGTACTATTGTTTTTAAAGGAGTCTGGGTGTAAAGGAGCTCTTGCAGATGCTTTTATTGGCAGCTTCAACCCATTTCTTCTGGGTTGCTATGGCAACAGGAAGCCAAACCCAGAAGTGGGGGCTGTTTATGCTGAGTGATAAGGAGCCAACTGAAAGGACAACTCTGAGAGAAGCTTGGGGTTGCTGAGGTTGGGAGGGGGTGGATCAAGCTGTTTCTGTATCAATATAGTCTCTTGGCACTGTAGATACACAGATAGCAAACAGGAAGTCTACCTAGGAGCTTCCTGGCGTGGTTTGTTCTTCCTAATTGCCTCTTATTTCAGAGATCTGAGTGAAGGACCAGGGGAGAAATCTGAAGTACAAAAAGATTGTTATGTATTAATGGCGCCCTATTGGAATAGGAAGAGTCTGGGGATTCCTCAGAAACTGAAGGAATAGCAGGAGCTAAGTGTACCTGGATAAAACCCACCAGGAAGGTGAGCGGAATTTGTGTTTGGGCTGAATTCCTGGTGACACAGCCATATGGCTTTAGCTAACTGCCGTCTCCAAACAGTATACTCTTTGTGGAGCAGCTAAAGTACACAGAGGATTGTGCTGCCTTAGCTATCATCTTTAATTCTAACCCCATCATCAGTTGGAATGCTTCACTAACAACTTAGGGTGCCCCAACCTATCCCTGAGCCTGAATTCCTGCTCAAAATCAAGGGTTCTCCTTCTCCCTCCGCAAGCCACTTTCCCACATCTCTGCCTTTCTCCCTAGAGTAGGAGGCTCCAGGGGACCACAGCTGACTCTGCCAGGCACAGAGGGTTGAGTCATCCTGCAGGCATCAGAGCTGTTAGCAACAGCTCTGCTGATCTGTATGCAGCTCCAACTCCCTCTCCAGTTCAGAGTTTTGGAGCCGTCTTGTTCAAAAGTAAAGAACAGAACACAGATGGCTGGTAACAGGATCCCACAGGGGCCTCCTTTCCCACTGAGCCCATCCTGCTAATCCTTTTTACAGAAGAGAAAATAAATGGTGAATGGACCTCCACTATCTGTTAAATTTCCCCAGTATATTCGCTTCCTAGTTCTTTTTTCTCCCACCACTTTTCCCTTTGTGCCTCTCATTTTCCATCCCAGTTCCTATTTTCCATAATGTCTTAGAAGCTGGAGTATTTTACTGAGTGCTTTCTTTTTGAGTCAGGTAACTTTTAATTTTTTTACCTTTAATTTTTGAGATTCTGGGGATTAAACTCAGGACCTTGCACACCTGGCTTCAGTGGTCCTCCTCCTCAGACTCCCAAATAGCTGAGACTGTAAGTCCTTGCTACCAGGCCTGGCTTCTCTGCCATTTACCAGCTGTGTGAGCTTGGGCATTTTATCTAATCTTTCTAAATTCCAAATAAGGCATCTGAGTATGTATATATTAGCATCTACTTTGCCAATTGGCTTACAGATGAAATTAGATAGAAGTAAGACATGGGATCTAGAACAGAATAGATGCCAAATGAATATCAAGTGTCTCTCTTTTCTCCCTCATGCCCTGTTTTCAGGAACCTGAAAACTATAATTTCTCATGACATAGATAAGATTCATGCTCAAATGCTACTAAGCAGTTGTGGAAAAAGAGTGGGAAATGTGTGAGTTTTGTAAGACTCCAAGACTTTGTAAAAACTACCATGTGAATACATTAATCTTGCTCTTTCTCAATTTCAGGATTCCTTGTGAGAATCACTCCTTTGCTCATACCAGTTTTACTGTATTTTCTTTGGAAGATAAGATGCTGGCTTGGTGATTGGTGGTATAATTTTAGATAAGTTATTTTGCTTCTTTGGGCTTCAATAGAACAAATGATCACTGCTCTTCTTCACTCTAGGAAACAAGAAGGATTGGCTCAAGTCTATGTAAACTACAGGAGAATAGTTAAGTACAGGGTGGTATGATGCTTGGCACGGAGAATATTGGAAGGTTTATATAGTCAGGTCAAATGCTACTGTTCGGTTTATGTGATTACCAAAGATAGCTGGCACAGGGTTGCGGTTTGATGTAGTTCAAGGTAATAAACATGTGTAATGTCAAAATACAAATGTGTTTTGCTGTAGCTGAAACAAGAAGGCTGACGATGAGACGAGGACGT